TGTAGTCTGCTATCAACAGCTCAAGCCTCTGTTACTAGCTCCAAAATTATGTTTTGGAGGCATGGGATGAGATGCTTAAGAAATTAATCCTGCTCACAAGAGCATTTTAAGGACAAAAACCTTACAAATGTGTTGAAATACAACATCTGAACAATGTTTGAGGTGTGGTAAACGTAGTATAAGCGGAATAATTGACTCTGGTCCGTTGAATTATTAGAAAATAATGCGCACCTCAGTGTGCATTATATTCTAATAATTCAACAGACCGTTGTCAATTATTCCTTACTTAAATTACTATTACTACTGTACATGCAGTACCATTCAAATGTTTTGGGTTCAGAAAGATCGACTGATCAAAAGTGATATTGATAATGTTACTCAATATTTCTGTTTTAAATAAAAGCTGCTGCTTTTGATCTGTCTATTTGTCAAAGAATCCTGAAAAGAATGTCTGACAGTTTTCTTCAAAATATGAAGCTGCACAACTGTTTTCAACATTGATAATAATAATAAATGTTTTTGAGCATCAAATCAGCATATTAGAATGACTTCTGAAGAATCATGTGACACTGAAGTCTGGATTAATGACGCTGAAAATTCAGCTTTGCATCACAGGAATAAATTACATTTTATTCAAAAAGAAAACAGTTTTAAACTGTAATAATATTTGACAATAGAGGTCTTCATGGATTGGAGATTGGGTCTTGACCAGAAGGAGACCATCTAACAAGCACCCATTTTCTTCAGAAAATGTGAAAATCTAATTCTACTTTGTTGTTCTCTTGTTTTCTCTTTATTATATTTCTGTATCTGCTGTCATTCTTTCATAAATGCAGTTGACAGAAAGGCTGTGTTGTAGACTTGACCCTAAACTTCACCCCCCCCCCCCCCACCACACACACACACACACACACACACACACTCTTCTCTCAGATATTAGCTCTTTACTGCTGTTCTTTCAGGCGTGTCTCAGACAAGCGTTCATGTTACTCTTATCAAGCTCACTGTTCACCCGCTCTTTCTGTTTCCTCTGAGAGAACAAGTGTGTACGTCAGTTGTGTATGTGTGTAAGCATCCGTGTGTGTGTGTGTGTGTGTGTGCACTTGCATGCACACTTGGGTGAGTTTCACTTCATCCAAAGTATTAGTGTCAGTATGGCCCAGGTCTTTTCTTCCTAGATTGAAGGAGGCAAAGAGAAAGAGGATCTCAGGAGACAGAAACTATTCCGGTGATAGAAAGAATGGAAATCTAAACAACTCACTGTATCAAATATGTAAACAGATCACACTTGGCTGCTACATCACTGTGTGCTTCTCAGATCTCTAAAATGAAAAACAGTCTGAATAATCACAAATGCTTAATGTAACACTAGTTAATGTAATACTTCTCAATCTTGTAGCTTGATTTATGCAAAATTTGCAAAACTGTTTAAATTTTTAACTTGACGAATTGTCTTAAAATAGCAATATTTACTGTGTGAGGTGTGATGCAATGGTCAGTGTGTCACGATCACCAGCTGGAGTGCCCTTGATAGCTACCTGAGGACACTCCCTTCCATACCTTTGCCACTCTATCCTGGACTGCATTTCCCATAACCCATTGCCCAGACTCATCATGCCTGATTGTTTTCACCTGTTGCTCATTACCTCTGCCTATATAAGCATGGTGTTTTCAGTCACTCTTTGTGAAGGCTTCTATGCGTCTCAGCTGCAGTTCTAAGCCTTTTATCCTGGTTCTTGATATTCTGCCTGTTTATCTGGATTACTCTTTTTGCCTCAGCCCTGAACGCTGTCGTTGTTTGAACTGCTTATTGTGTTTGACCTCATTCCTGTTTTGACTGCGATTGTGGATTTTTAGGGATAAATTTAGAGACAGATCCAAAAGTTGCTGTTACTTTAAAGTAACGCACAGTCAGGACACTTAACTCCTCATGTAAAATTTGTATCTTGAAATTCTTCCCATTTTACGCGCATTTGATGAATGTTAACGTTAAAGAAAATATCTAGATAAGCTCACTGGTTGACTACTCCCACCAGTAGTTTGCATCTTTTGTGGAAGAGAGGCAATGAGACACTAATGGAAATTGATAGCTAAATTGCAGAATGTAATGAGGACTGCAGTGGAGATGAGATCACAGATGCGTCTCTGCAAGGTCGTTTAAGGGTTACCAAGGATAGGCCGCTTTTTTAACAGATGTATGAGGGTGACCTTGCACACACTCTAGGTTAACGCAGCACTGCTCACCCGCCTGTCCTTCTGCTCTGCCTTACCTGCCTGAGTGCCTGTTAGGATTAGATGTACTGCCAGATACACCAACACCCATACTGTGAATTATGTGAGGATTTATGGAGCTCTTTTAATGGTTGATCCCTGCTGGAAAATCCAGTTGCATTGGTAGCTGATCGAAATTGGTTATTCATTGTAATTAACTGGTCCAAAGCTGGTCTAAATGAAACCCAATTAAAGAAACATTTTGAGTCAAATACAATTTAAACTATAATGATAACAAAGAAAAGTGATTCCACAGTAACGCAGTAATGGAAGTCTATGGGTTAAATGGGCATAGGGTTTAAATCAGGGGTGCCCAAACTCTGTCCTGGAGGGTCAGTGTCCTGCAGAGTTTGGGGTTGGTGCTAAACTCTGCAGGACACCGCCCCTCCAGGACGGAGTTTGGGCACCCCTGGTTTAAATGAAGAGGTCTGCAGAAAATATTGATTTAGTCTTTAAAGTTGTGTAAATTTTTTGTTTGGAGTGACTACTGTTTTAGGTGGATTAACTTATGTGTAACTTCAATGTAAGGAGTTTTCAACAATAGCTTGTTTGCAATCACACGATTCTGATGACGCGCGAAATACAGATGAATGCAGGACGTAAAAAGCAGAATGGATGAGATGGAGGAAAGTCCACACTGTACTGGTTTAGACACTATTACAAGAGAAAGGTATAAACAGAAAATCACAACATATGTTGGACATGATCCTAATGTTATGAAGAGGAGCGATTTTTCATCTAAATTGAAATACTTGCCTGCCATCGAGGTGGTGGATATAGGGTAAGTAACTAATCCTGATTGCAAACAAGCTATTTTGAAATTGGATGCGGGATATATGTCACTCCTGAAACTTTGCTGCATGTACAGGGTATGTGGCCATTGGTCCTGTTAGCAGCACATAAAACAAAACTTTCAATTCAAATTCTGAATTGATTATAGCCTAGAAAGCGAGCAAATAGCGCTTCCATATAATCACTAAAAAGCTGTCACTCACTTCAATTTATCGCAATCTCACAATGTTCCATTATAATCAATGAAGCTTTCTAAACTGCACATAAAATATCTTATTTACATCGTGTCTACGTGTAGCGTTTAGCATTGAGTGAATTCTGACTGTCTCAGTAGGCAGCCCTGTATATATTTATAAATTTCTTTATTAATATTTTAATATATTATTATATCTTATATTAACCATTTGCACACACAAGCATTATCCGACTCTGCTCCTCCCGACCGTAGACGCAAGCTATGCATTTTTCAGTCAATTTCTTGCCTTTTTCCCCCTTATGAACAGCATTTTTGTACACAATAAAAGCTCCTTGTGTTTTTTTTTCACATACACACACAAAACATAGGCATTTGGAGTTTCTGCTAGTGATTCCTATATAGAAAAATCAGCCCTGCCTCCAGCTGCATTTCACACCACAGCAATGACGTCATGTGCAAACAACCTTTTAAAAATTGGGGCAAAAAGCAGGGGTTTTCAAACCTGACCTGGAGGCCCCTCCAGCACAGCACATTTTGTCTCCCTTATCAGACACACCCAATTCTGGTTTTGCAGTCTCTACTAATGAGCTGATGAGTTGAATAGTTCCAATAGTTGGAAGACATAGAAAATGTGCAGAGCCGGGAAGCCTCCAGGACAGGTTTGAAAACCCCTGCTTATAATGAGCTACTATTGTTTAAAGGTTTGGGGTCAGTAAGATTTTTAATGCTTTTGAAAGAAGTCTCTTATGCTCGCCAAGGCTGCCTTTTCTCAAAAATACAGTAAAAACAGTAATATTATTACAATTGAATGTTTCTATTTTAATATATTACAAAATTTAATTTATTGCTGTGACCCAAAGCTGGCATTTCTTATTATTAACATAATAGGAAAAAAAGGAAGTTCAAAAGAAATATAAATATAATTTTTTTTGTAGCATAATAAATGTCTTTACATTTACTTTTGATCAATTAAATGCAGCCTTGCTGAATAAAAGTATAGATTTCTCTTTTAAAAAAATCTTACCCAAAACTTTTGAACAGTCGTGCACATTATGGCTCTTTTTGATTTTGTCATTTAGACGTTTTCAGAAATAACTTTAAAAATGTTTTAAATGTTTCTTCATGGTGCTGTACATTCATCCCATTTTGTGACAAGTTTTTACTGTATTTAACCCCGAAACACATTTTAACCACCTAAAGCTGGTACAAGTTTCTGCAAGTTTGAACCAATATAACTAGGACACACCAAAAATTGTTAGTTAGTTAAGGTTATCAACACTTTAAGTGGCTTAAACCCGCAACCTGCTTATCAGCTTAAATTATTGAACCGGTGAGCTTTACCAGCCCAATTTTGTGTTATTTTGTTTCCACTCTGATCCAGATTCATCTACAGGGCGTTTCGGCTGCTCCTTTCCCTTGAGGCACAGATACATCTAATGGACCCTCTAATTATCTCTTCTCATCCATGTTCCCTTGTCTGCTTATCATACTTTCTCTCTGCAGCTTGGTTCTTTTGTTTCTCGCTCTTTCTCTGTTTGTCTCTCAGTACTCGGTCCTCTCTTGTGAGCTTGTAATTTGTTTCTCTTCTTTCCAACAATCTCCCAACATTCCCCACCCATCAGTAGGTGTATCCCTGCTGAGTGTGATGAGGGGTGGGACTGTCCTACACAGTTATAGTGTGGAAACACACACACACACACGTCCCGTCTTCATAGCTTACTTTTCATAATCCTGTCTCAGCATGAGGGAGATCAGCTACAGCAACTGCAGGAGGATGAGCGAGAGAGAGCAGCAAAGGAGAAAGAGTGATAAGAGAAGGAAAGATGGAGCACAGGAGGGAAAAAAGAGGGGTGAGACGTAATGTGCACTGCAGAAAATCATTTTATTAATCAATAGTTCTGTTTTGATTTACAGTAAACATATCTAGGCTTGAGAAGCAATTTAATGCTTGTTTTTTTAAGCATACATTTAGTTAGATTTATTCTTGAAATAAGACAAAGATGGCAGTGGGTAAGACAAATACACTTTATTCAAGATTTATTCTCTGAAAGTCTTATTATTTTGCACAGTTTTGCTTCTTGAGTCAATTTATCTGGTTTTAAGAGTCTTTAGATATTTTTACAGGAAAACATGACAGAAATAAAAAATGTTGTTTTGGCGCTGTGCAAGTACTGTTATCAAGCTGTGGAGAATGAGCGGCGTGTATTTGTGTGTGTGAAGGAAAGAGTAAAGACGTGTGATATCTGAGCTCTGGCGTGAAGCTGAAGTGAAAACTGCAAGCCGTCTAAATTTGACCTTGTTTCCAGCGAATTATGGAAACTTTCTATCACAAGCTCTGCATTCACTGTCACATTCTGGCGTTTTGCACTGTAAGATTTGTTCCTAGGAAAAAGTTTTTTTTTTTTTTTCTTGCAACTTGGATTAATTAAGTTATGTTTTATATACAGTAATGTTTAAAAGTTTGGGGTTGGTAAAATTTTTTTTAAAGGTTTTGAAAGAAGACTCTTTTGCTCACCAAGGCTACATTTATTTGATAAAAAATGCAGTAAAAACTGTGAAATATTATTACAATTTTATTTTTTTTGGGTGTATTATAAAATTGTTTAATTATTACTCCAGTCTTCAGTGTCAAATGATCCTTCAGAAATCATTCTAATATGCTGATTTGCTGCTCAAGAAACATTTCTTATCAATGTTAAAAACAGTTGTGCTGCTTCATATATTTGTGGAAACCATGATACATTTTTGATTAATAAGAAGTTCAAAAGAACAGCATTTATTTGAAATAGAAATCTTTTGTAACATTAGTATTAGTCAAGTAAAAAGGCATCAAATATTGATTTGAACGCAAATTATTGTATCAGTTTACTTTTAGAGGTCATAAGGAGACAGAGTAGGATGAGCCATCAATTATACAGTGTTGTCCTGGACAGCAGTCAATTTTAAGAAATATTTGACCGCTGACTGTGTTTGACCAATCAGAATCAAGTTTTTTGAGAGCGATGTCAAGAGCATGGAGTTATAAAGGGAAGAATGTGATAAGAAACATTTGCATTCAAATTGAGATCTCTGAGCTTTGATTGGTGTCTTTTGGCAATTTTGAGCTAAATATGAGACATTGTTGAGATTTGCTCCATAACTAGCATCTGTTGTCTGGAGAAAAACCTAAGAAACAAGAGTCTCATTGTCATCTTGGAGAAACAATAGGTAGAATTGTATTATTTTTCATGCATGCATGTTGTTTTCTTCTCAGGTCAAATGTTGATGTAGACATCAAAATGCTTCTTTCTCCAGATCATGGACAGAGCAGTTTGTCTTATCGCATTGCATTTCATATTGCAACATCAGATTTGGTTCATCTAATCAAATTTCAGTGTTTTATACTGCTCTTCTTTTTTTTGTTGCCACATCTGGCAATTGTAGGAAATTTCGTCCATAAATATTTCTCCAACCAGAAACTGTATTTTGCTTTATTTCTTTAAAAGTTGATTTATTTTTGTCCCTATGACAAAGGATTTATTTATCTGTAACTGTTGGCTTTCTATTGAGCATCCCAGCGGATAGTGCTGTGTTTTATATCACATTTTGTTTCATACGGCAACATCAGATTTGTTTTCAGATTCAGATTTCCTCTCCACCGCTGGACAAGTTTAACAGTCACTGCTTCGCCTCCATGGGTTTGTTTTTAATAAAAATCTGAAATGTCTTTTCTGGTTTCATTCCAGCTGAGGGCCGTCTGGAAGAGAGATGCGTTTACGTGACGGTTACCAGCAATAGCTTAAAATGAGTTGGTTAGTTGTCCGCTCTTGTGTGTGTGAAGCTCATGACAAATGCTCTTGCATGCAGGTGTTAATGAGAGTTAATGTTTCTCTGTGCCGTGACGTATGAGCGTCTGGGCTTCATTCAGCTTATTTTCACAGTTTTCTGCTTTATAATGTGTGTGTGTGACAGGATGTGTGTGTGCTCTGCTGGACAGTTGTACATTTGAACCTTGAAGGAGAAAGAGAGGGGTGGTCGGTGATAAAACTCCATCAGAAAATGCTGATTTGAGCAAAAGCATTCATGCACAACTGCAACCTTGTGCAGCTTTACACACACACACACACACACTTCTGTCTTGGGTGATGTCAGAGACTCTTACATTAACCTTGTGCCAGCCGTTTTCTACCACTATTACCAATGTTTGATTTTCAACTAAAGGAAAAGTTGAGATGCATGACAACAAGTATGTTCCCATTCAGTCAGTCACATTCTACGTTACGTCAGTGACTGACGAATTGGGATCTCGCCCGAGAGCCCAATCGCGGTCTAGATACCTCCTCATTAAACGGGGGGGGGTATCCCCCTTGCCATGCCCCACTCTAGCTCCTCTGGTTCTCGGAGGGCTACTTCGGTTCATGATCAGGGAGACCTGAGGGTTACGGTGAGAGCTTCCCCGTCGAGTACATCTGCGCGGGCCTTTCATTCCTCAAGCACATTGCACCACCTGGTGCTTCCGGACGAGTGTGCTGGGTCCTCGGATAGGGCGGGGTCCAGCATCTTGTGCGGGGCACAGGCAGAGGACAGGATGTCGATCGCTGCATCGGAGGGCGAGCTAAGCTCTGGAGATGAGGATTCGACTGCGCTGCCACCGTCAGGTAGAGTGGCGTTGCCCGAGTCAGATCCAGAGCTTTCCCGGGCTGCTGAGAGCTAAGTTTATATATGCTTGGGGTCTAGATAAACTAGTCTTCAAGTGAGAATTGCATAATCATGCAAATGTCTTAAGATACGGGAAAGCTGCATTTCATAGAATGAGATAAAGGATCGAATAAAAAGTTGCTGAGCTCTGCATGTTGTAGCAACATTGCATCAATGTAATTTGGCCGTTCCTAACATAAATCAATAGTGCACAAGTAGCTGTATATTCCGTCCGTATGTCACCGTCAGTCCATATGTAGCTGTTCAGTATGTGTGTGTGTGTGTGTGTGTGTGTGTGTGTGTGTGTGTGATTAATGTGAGCTCCATCCAGCCCATTTTAAGGGCAGTAATGGTTGAGTGGTTTGAGATATAGGGTCTTTCTCTCTCTCTCAACTTTGTCCTCTAGCTCTCCACCAAACCCCTCCATTATCTGATGTGTCAGCAGTGTCTCGTGGACACAAAGAATGAACGAATGACTGAGAGAATGAATATGATACAAGAATGAATGAAAGAATGAGTAAAGGAATCGATAGAATAAATTAGGGATTATATGTGTGTGTGTGTGTGTATACACACATATATAAAAAACACAAATATATTTTTGTACAAATTGTACAGCCATACAAACAAATACAGCAACCCCGGAGCTTACACTTTTAAACCTTAAATTTTTTTTTGAGCAATTACATTTTCCCTCAAAATTGTACAGCCAGTTAATTCTGAATGGAAAATGTATGTAAATGAGGATTTAGTGGATAATGGATGAACAAATCAATGAAAGATTTAAGTTCTTTATTGTGATTGTACAACAAGGTAAAACAATATTATTTAAACGAATGCCTGAATGAATGAGTGAGTGAATAAATGTATAAATTATGAAAATAATGAAAAGCTAAAAAATTAATTAAATCATAAAAATATTACATTAAAATAAATATTTTTATTATAAAAAAACAATCAAAAGAAAACATGCTAAAACAAGATTAAATATTAATAAATTACCTTCACGTCATTAAAAGAAAAATAAGGTCAAAGGGGTTCAGCTGAAAAACCCATCGATTAATTTTAATGAGTGCAAACTCTTAATTGTATTTTATAAATTATTGGTCAGGTGAATGAATGAATGAATTATGGAGGGCAATTTCTGCCACGGAACAAAAAATAAATAAATTAATGAAAATGGTATTTGCAACTTTTTATCTCACAGTTCAGACTTTTTTTCTCACAATTCTGCAAAAAAAAAGTCAGAATTGCAAGATATAAACTATCTTATATATAAAATATATAAAGTCAGAATTCTGACTTTCTTCTTGCAATTCTTAATATTTTCTTGAAATTCTTAGTTTACATCTTACAAATGTTACACTTTTTTCTGGAAAAAAAATGTTTACAAATAGTTTATATCTCATAATTCTGACTTTTCTTAGTTTATTTCTTGCAATTCTGAGGTTGTATCCTGCAATTCTTAAAGCTGCAGTGCGTCAGTTTTGCCTCTTTGTCTCCATCTCAGTTTGAAACCTGCAATTGTTGTTATGAATCTAATGTTTTGAGATGTGTGTGGGCTGTCAGTCAACACCAGTGTGGATATTCACTGTACTTAATTATAATAGATATCAAAATGATAGATAATACATCTTGGAAGTATGCCCAAAATATGAAATATCATCTGAACAAGTAACATGTCTGCCAGTTTTGTTCTGACCAACTGAAAAAAAAAAGTTTTACAATAAATGGTCATTGTTTGACCAGTGGTGATTAATATCATCTGCGCTAATATCGTAAGTGTTGTTTTAACGATGTGCGATCTGACATTGAGTATATCACAAAAACACACCCAGAGAGTGCACGCATACACTGTAATTTAGTCTATTAAAATGCATTTAGACTGCCCATAAGATTCAAGATAAGAGGCAAAATGCCTCTATATTGTCTTTTTATTTATATAATTTAATATAGTTAATTTAATATAGACCACACTGAGTGCCATTTTTTCTCCAGATATCAGCATGATAACAAATGCAATATTGATTTTATACAAGCTTAATAAAGTTAGTATTACGTTACTTACATTTTAGATGCCTGTTTTTGCTGCATTTCGCCAATAGGGTGTTTTCACTACATGTCATCAATCCGAAAGTCAACCATATTGGTGGCACTGAATGTAAACAATGCC